GGGCATTCCAATGTAAAGCGCATTGAGTTTGAGCTACTTTTTTTGGAAATACGCTATATAAATGTTATATATTATTATTATTATTATTACGTCCAGAAGGGGAGAAAATTACGTAGTGAATGCTAGTACAACGAGGCTGATTTATCGTATCCACCCAAAAGAAAAAAAAAAGACAGCAAAGGTCGCAGTGCGCCCCTCAGTGTACAGCTGGGGGGGGGGGGGGGGGGTACGAAATGTCAGTATGGTGAAAGGAGATGTCCGGGGAGGGGGGAGGGGGGAGGTGGGAGGAGATATCAGTGGAGTGATACGAGATGCCAGTGAGGTGAGGCAATACAAGATCCTTAAAAATGAAGGAATAGGAGATGAGTTCAGAGTAAACGAATGCATGGATGAGGCAACATGAGATTTTGAGTGAGGAAATATTATGAGGCATGTATGCGACAAAATAAGAAATGTTCAAAACAGATGCACTATATTATAATATAAATCGGCCTTTGACTTTCCTGAAAAATCGTTATATATATGACTCAAACATGTACATTTCTCATACACTTCCTCCCACTCATCCAATATATATATGTACAAACAGCAGAACTCGAACACAAACCAAACACAAACTAGATTGACCCATTCTGATGAAGTAGGAAGAATAGAATTACACATTCCGCGCGCGTTGAGAGGCCTCGTACAAGAACGTAAATGCAAGTAAAACACACGGAAGCAACAAAATCCAAACACAGTGGAGTCCACTTACACTACACCCAACTGTCCCTGTTGTTTTATGCACCCCGCATAATTTAGCAAAATTTGATAATTTTTTGCATAATTTCTGATTATTTTCCTGTATAATTAAAAAAAAAAAAATTAACAGAATCGCATAATTTCATATTTTTGGGCTCAGTTTGAATAATTTCAAAATTTTTCTTGGATAAAATGACAGGGACAGACCAAACATGGTTCATCTGAAGATAGGGGAAAACTAAAAGAAAATTCTGTGGACCTGCAGATTTCAGTTTGACTCTTTAAACCCTGAGTTTGTTCCACCGTTTCCAGGAGTTTTTTTCTGCAGTCAAATAAACCTGGTGCACTATGTCTCATTATAACCCCAAAAGCTTGCGTGCAACTTCTAAATGGTGGAAACAAAGGCTTAGTCATTACAAACAAAAAAATTTGGTTCAGGAATAGTTCCGAAAAACAAGCAAAAACTAGCACTAAATAAAACGAAACAGTTGTCACTAGTACTGGACGTTCCCACCGTCCGATGGGGAACAGGGGGATTACTGCCGGACGTTCCCAGCGTCTGACGGGGTTTAAAGAGTTCAGTGTTGTAAAGAGTTCAGTGTTGTAAAGAGTTCAGTGTTGTAAAGAGTTCAGTGTTGTAAAGAGTTCAGTGTTGTAAAGAGTTAAGTGTTGTAAAGAGTTCAATGTTGTAAAGAGTTAAGTGTTGTAAAGAGTTAAGTGTTGTAAAGAGTTAAGTGTACTCCACTGTGTAAGTTCTAACACTTGCTGTGTGCGATTTCACAAATTGTGTTCACCTCAACAAATTCACTCGCCCATCCCGTTTTTCCACTCGTTCAGACCACACACATAATAATATATCTTCTGCAACAACTGAAAACCGCGTCTGTTACCAATATCAAATTTGACATGAGACAGGAAATATAACATGTCCAGCCCACGTGTACACACACACAAAAAAAATGTGTCATGTCGAGGTGGAATCAGGTGCTTATCACTTTGTGGGCATAGGGAATAATCGGTATCATCTTGAAGCTCAATAAGTTGTCTCACTTTTGATAAAAAGAAAAACCATTCTATGCTGAATATAAGTCGAGGTATTTGTGATTGAAGAAGGCGGGGTTTGCCTAGTAGCAGAGGAAAGTAAGCGAGAAAATGGCCACAAAAATTTGGTGAATTCCAAAGGTTGATTGTGACTGGAAACAGAAAATTTACATTTTTCATGCCTTTCCTCAACGTTTTCCTGTAAAATCCACACAGAAGGTGTGCTTTTAAATGAACATAAAAAGCTGCTGAGACAAAAAAAAAAACCCACAAAAAATTGTCCAGCTGCCACAAAAATACTGGTTTCTTCAAATTCCTTTTTTCGGCAAGAGCCTGATTCCACCGCGATGACACACAAATGACTGGTACTGCATACAGAGAAAAAAGCGCTGGGGACGAGAGGTTGGTAGCTATGGACAGCAGTACTGCAGTAAGCCGACAAAACGCCTTTTTTTCTTCAGAGCAGTTTCGAGAAAAGGGTTGGGTTTTTTTCTCAGCAAAATCATTTTAACGTCATTCCAAAATTTGAATTCTAATTGTTTCCCAATACGGTGGAATCAGGCACTTGTCAATTTTTGGGCATGTGGAGTCATTTGTATCAGATCTTAAAACTTGTTTTTCTTGATTTCGATTAAACAAATGCCCATCTATCTTGAATACAAGTCGAGATATTTGCCATTGAAGGAGATGGGCTCAGCTGGTTTCAGAGGCAAAATTAGCGAGAAAATGGCCACCAAAGTTTGGTTATTTCCATAGCTTGAGAGTCTGAGGAAATTAAAAATAAAGATTTACATTTTTTGTACCTTTAATCAACGTTTTTCAGTAAAAATCCACACAGAAATGTGTTCTTTAATGGACATGAAAGGCGTTGAGCCAAAAAATAATAAAAAATCCTTTAAAATTCCAAAACCTGCGAAAAAATGCCATTTTCTTCAATTTCATTATTTTGACGAGCGCCTGATTTCACCCCGCTTCCTCACAATTTATTCACAAACTAGTCACAGTTTCAATTTGATTTTTCCACACAAGTACAGTAACTGATCAGGCTTTGGATTTGGTAAATAAAAAATTTTAATTTTGGCGTCAAAATGAGAAAAGGCGTTTTGTCAGCGTGCGGCAGAGGACTGGTCTATCTGTTCTACGACACACAAGATATAACACAGACGGCTTTGTGCCGACCTTGTGATAAGACCGGCTAACTCAGATAATGTGTGAGGGGTGCCGACAATATGAGTTACTTCTCGCAATCCACAAATTGAGATGTTGGTCAAAAATCAACACTAGGGTCAAATTTGTCGATTTTCTTTTGATGCTATATTCTTAACCCTATCCGTACGTCGTATTTTACTATCGTATCCATACGACGTGGGGAACTCTTTGCCACCACTTTACCCTATCCGTACGTCGTGTTTTACTATCGTATCCATACGACGTGGGGAACTCTTTGCCCCCACTTTACCCTATCCGTACGTCATGTTTTACTATCGTATCCATACGACGTGGGGAACTCTTTGCCACCACTTTACCCTATCCGTACGTCGTGTTTTACTATCGTATCCATACGACGTGGGGAACTCTGTGCCACCACTTTCCAAAGAGGAAATTTACTTGTTAATCCGATCCGTACGCTTTGCATAGCAGTCTGTCAAAATTATTTTGTGAAAAATACTGAAAGTTTCAAAGAGATCTTCGCACTAGAAGTATTCTAAAATGTAAAGAATACAACCCTTGGGGTACAAAATGACCCCAGGATGCACGCATAGGGTTTAAGCACAACAGGCCTATTATCATTTCATACTTATAAATTGTAAAAACTTCATCTACAAGCCTGATGTAGGTTTTATCTATTTCCATAGGGGTCAAATCCGAGAAGTAACTCATTTTGTCAGCACGCTTCTCATATCATTTCTTAAATTAGATAAACTGATAGTAGCAAATTGTCCATTTCATTTGCTCAGTCAAACACACGTCTCCATAGTGACGAGAAATGCTCCTAAAACGTTAGAAACAGAGCCGGCTGCCAAGTTGCTGTGTGGTGAGGAAAACGAAAATTACATAAAATGAGTTTGGGCTTTTTTTTGCTGCTTCTGTATGATTTCCCCTGCTGGGGTCAGCCGGTCTTATCACAAGGGAGGGCAACATTTGTTTGTCTTGTCCCCGTGGTCTTATGCACCCCGCTTTTGGGTGGCGCGGTACCATTTTAAAAACTATATAATTAGTGTGTGTGTGTGTGTGTGTGTGTGTGAGGGGAGGGGAACAGGATAGGACGAGGGTGGGGGGAGAGGAGAAGGAATTAGTAGGAAGCTTTCAGTTTTTGGTTTTAGTAAGGTTTTACGGCGCTCGCAACTGCATAAGGTCATATGAACGCCAAGTAGGAAATTTACCTGTTAAAGAAAACTTTCAGTGGACCAAAGTATTCACACAGTGTGGTGTTTCACAAAAAGAAACATTTGCACACATTTGAAGAGAGACAATTTTTGTCACCCATGCCCTAGAGAAGCTCTGACCGGCCACGAGGAAAAACAATCAAAAAATGTTCAAAATGAAAAAATGGTCGCTTTTAAGGACAAGCAGGCTAACCCAGATTTCGGGAGTTCCAAAAATCTTAACCTACACCAAAAGTGGGCATTGCCCTACCTATAGGAGAAGTTTGGTTTCATTGGTGAGTATATTTATTTGGTTATAGAGAAAACTCTCCTTGTCCTTTAATGAAACTGAATAAAGGGGCAAAAACTTTACCTTCGATTTTCTCAAAACAGCATTTTCTGGGATAGCCCCCTTGTGCTGAAAAGCGACCGTGTATGAGAAATACTTGTCAAGCAAGCACACGACAAAAATGTCAAAACATCAAAGACATTCTGTTTATCCCCGGCTGCCCAATCGATGACTCACGGACACATTCATCACTTTACTCGTCCTTCAATGTCGCACTCTCTCTTTCTCTTACTTTAC